TTTTAATAGAATATTTAATTATTATATTTATAAAAAATTATATTATTAAACCAAAAATAAATTGATTCGTTGTTATAACTAAACTAAATTGTAATAAAAATTGAATCAAAGAAATTACACAAAAAACGAGAATTTTTAAATAGTTAATTTGATATTAATATCGATATTTTTTTTCAAAATGTTAATTACAATATTTTTAAATGTATATTTTATTCAAAAATAAAAATATTATCATTTTCTTAAAACCATAAAATTGTATTATATCAATATACAAAGAATAAATAAAACAATAAAATCGAGATGTATCTCGCTGAATTGTGCGAGTACCTTTCTAATTATATTATAAAATATTTGAATTAAATTCTTAATAATCATTTCTAATACATCAAATATTGTCTAATAATATATTTATTTAACATTTAAGATTACAAGTAATTGATATGAGAGTACAATTTTTTAAAACTATATGTTTCAATTCATATAACTAATTGATAAATATAATCAAATATAGAATAAACATTTTATTTTAAATATAAAAAACCTAAAATATTAAATAACCGTTAAATTCTAATTATTATTTTAATAAAAAATATTATATTTAAAAATATTTATTCGGTATAAAACCTAAATTAATTTACAATAACAAAATTGAACTAAAATTATCATTAAAAAGTTATATTATTAACCTAAAATAAATACTTTCGTTATTAAATCTATACTATATTATAAACCATTTGACAAAAACTCTTAAAAATTATTTTGTATGCATAAAGTATTGTTTCTTAATGCATATTACTTAAAATTTAAGATTACAAGTAAATTGTGCATAAGTACAACTTATTAAAACTCTATTTTGAATTCGTATAACTAACTGCATATAAGCATAATCAAATACAAGATAAATATCTTATTTTAAATATAAAAAGTTTAAAATATAATTAAAATAATCATTGAGTTCTAACAAAATCATTATTTTTATAAAAAATTATATTGTTAAACCCAAAAAATAAATTACTTTGCTATTAGGCATAAATTAAATTATAATAAAAAAATTGAATTAAAGAAATTGTACAAAAAATAAGAACTTTAAATAGTTAATTTGATATTAATATCGATATATTTTTTTCAAATTTTTATATCTTCAAATATATATTTATTCAAAAGTAAAAACATTATATTTATTAGAACTATATAAACCGTATTACATCAATAAAGAAAAAAATAAAATGAAATATTAAAGTGAATATGTATCTCGCTGCTTTGCGCGAGTACCATTATAGTCTAAATTAATGAAATTGAACTAAAAAAATTATACAAAAGACGAGAATTTTTAAAGAGTTAATTTGATATTAATATCGATATATTTTTTCAAATTTTTATATCTTCAAATATATATTTATTCAAAAGTAAAAACATTATATTTATTAGAACTATATAAACTGTATTACATCAATAAAGACAAAAATAAATTGAAATATTAAAGTGAAGATGTATCTCGCTGCTTCGCGCGAGTACTGTTATAGTCTAAATTAATGAAATTGAACTAAAAAAATTATACAAAAGACGATAACTTTTAACTTGTTAATGTGATACTAATATCGATATAAATGTTTATGCGGTCTTCAAATTTATAATTTATTCAAATCACAACATTATCGTTTTCTTAAAACCATACAAAACCATAATTTAAAAAATCAACAAAGAAAAATAATATTAAAATCAAAATATATCTCATTGTGCGAGTTCATTTCTAGTATTTTTTATAATTAAGTATTAAAAGTCAAAATCTTTAAAAATAGAGTAAATTACCGTTTCCGTACTTGGTTTGAGAAAGATTGCATTTTTTGTCTTTGTGATTTTAAAATTGTGATTTTCTTCTCTATGATTTGTAATTTATTATGGTTTTTGTTCTTAAGATTAAATTTGTTAAAACTCCTCCATTAGCTTAGGGTTATTTTAGTCTTTTTGATTTTCTTTGGTTTATTAAATATATTTTTTGGCTTCTTTTTGGTTTTTTTTTGTCTTTTTTGATTTAATAAAACAATATATTTTTTGACAAAAAAAGTTAATATATGAAAAAAATTATATTATTTTATTATTGTTTATGTTAAAATAATTATATTATTTTTAATGCAACTAGTTTTTTTTATATTTTTGGTCATTATAGCTTTAGTTTTTTATAAGTCTGATTTTTGCTGCTAACATCGTGCAAGTGTAAGCTGTTGAGTACTCCTCACATGAGAGTATTATAATTCTTTTTTTTTTTTACATTAGAGACCATAGGATTATAGTTTTTATAGGCCCAAACAATTAACTACTTAAGGTTATCTTACCAAACAAATGTATGTAATTTTATTAACATGACATACAACTGTTTGGTCTCATAAGTCATTAGACTATAACAGACAAATGTATGTCTTATATAAAAGTGTTACAATGAGTTTGTAAAATGTATGTTCGATTAATAAAATCGTAAACATTTATTTGATAAAAATAACCTAATATAGTTAATTGAATGGTTTTGTAAAAGAATTTAATGATTTAGTCCCTAATGAAGAAAAAAATATCAAAATACTATCATGTGGGGGGTACTCAATGACTTGCACTTGGATGATGTTAGTGACAAAAATCGAACTAATAAAAAACTAAAACTATGATGACGAAAGAACCTCTTGATATGTTTCCTCCACAATGAAATCCTCACC